GATGCCTCAAAACATCTTCTCATTGCTTCAATGTCGTCGTGTAGAGTTGCCACGAGACCCTTTGAAGTGTAATACTTTATCTTCAGGTGTACGATTGAAGGCACAACTACCAATTCAACCAGAGTTGGCCGCCCGAAGATGCATTGGTATAACGACGGGCAATCAATGACCAAGAACTGAACCTTGATAGACCTGGCCGTTTCAGCGGACCCGAAAGTCACAATCAGATCTATGTAACCCCAGGGCTTCGTCACTGACCCATTGAATCCCTGTAGATTAGAGCCCAAGTAGGGCATCAGGTATGATTCCTCCAGCTAGAGAGTGGAGAACAACTGAGAATACGTGATATCAACTGAGCTGCCCTGATCAACGAGGATTCGCCGGAAGTCAAAATTGGCCATCTGGACTCTCACGAGTAGAGGGATGCTGGCGTTGGGGGCCCCGTCGAGAAGTTTCTCGCAGTAGAAGCAGATAGGAATAGACTTTCCCCAGACCCTGTCGAGGGTGGAGTTCGGTTCGAGCTGTTGCTGGTAAGGTTCTCGAACTTTCTTTTGATGGACCCTATCGTAACCTTGTTGAATCCCCCTCCAGAGATGACCATGGCGGAGGGGAAGGTTTCCCATGGGCCGTACACGGCGAAATATGGAGGAGCGTTGAGCCCCTCGGGGATGTAGAAGTCCTCAGGCCGCGAGATGCTCATAGCGACCTGAAGGCTGGTTTCTTTTGAGGAAGACACATCTTCTTCGACCTTCTTAGACTCCTGGGCGTCTTGGCGAGGATCATCCTTCTTTTTGGAAAATTGCTTTAAATGTTTGTCCCTGATCAGTATCTCGATGGTATCCTTTAAGTGGATGCAATCGTTAGTTATATGGCTGTGGCTCTTGTGGAGCCGACAATACTTTGACTTGTTAGTGTTTGGCTTGGACGTATTTGTTTAGGAAACTAAACTCCCGCTTGCTGGAATTCTGAGTTAGCACACTCGGAGAGGATTTTTTTTCGCGAGACTGTCATGGGAGTATATTCATGGAACCGGACGGAAGGCCCTTTGTTGTCCCAAGGCTCTCGGAGGCGGTTTTCGCGTCTTCTATCTCCTCGACGGGATGTCGAGGGTTCGTCGGGCTTGGAGGATTGGGCACTCTCCTGATGCCTTGAATCTTGGGCACTCTCCCGATGCGTCAAATCTCGGGCAGAACTGACATCCTCCTTCTCTTCATAATGAATGCACACTTGTAATTTAAGGAGGAAAACGTCTAACGCTGTTAGGGGCTGAATGCCCATAGCTTTGAAAGATTTAGTATGGGGACGAAGCCCTCGCTCGAGCAGAAATTTCTTCATATCGTAAGTCGCGGAGACCTGGACAGCTTCCTTGTTGAACCTTTCGATATAGGCTCGAAGAGGTCCATCCTTCCCTTGAATGATGCCCTCAAGGGAAGCTTCGGTCTTTGGGTGCCAGCGAGAGACCGTGAAGTTTTTAGAGAACATTATCCTCAATTGCCTCCATGATGTGATGGAATCGTCGGGGAGTCTTTTGTACCAGGTCATCGCTCCCTTCCTGAGCATGACGGGGAACAATCTACATTTGATGGGTCCCCGGATGCCACGGTAATCGAGTAACGCATCAATATTTTCAATGTGCTCATCAAGGTCCGTAGTACCGTCGTATGTGCCCAGATAATGGGGTTTCTCCAGTCCCTTCGGCAGGCTCATAACCATAATCTTCTGGGATAACATGCCGCAAGGCTCGTTGTCGCTGCTGCTGGACCATGACAGGGAGCGGGTGCCATGTCTATAGGTAGAATGGTGATCTCGACGGGGAGATGGGGTCGTGCTCGGCCCTTGGATCTGGGCGGAGGCGAACGCTGGAACTCTGCTCGTTGATATCTTCTGGTCCTCTTGGGTCGCGGGGAATGCTGGTTCCTGGGAGAGATGTGGTCGCGCTTTTTGACAGTTCGAATTTCTGGCTCTGGAGGTGCCTGGCGGTTTCTTTTGCGCCTGGGAGGAGGACTTCGTGATCTCTGACACTATTTCCTGGCGGAGGGGATCTTGGACGACTGGAATCCTCTAGAGCTCAAATCCTCGCGTTCTGATGGAGGATTAAGAGGTTGGTCTTGTTGAGAGCCTCGAGGAGGTCCGCCATGGCTGGGTCGGTGTTGGGCAGAACTGAAACTGGTAGGTAGTCCGGGATGAACTGGACCTCATCGTGATCAGTGCGAACAGGGGAGGGAGACGCTGTGGCTCCATCCCTTTGCTATTGGGCGTCACCCCCAAGATAGGTGGTTGCTCTGTCAGTATCAATCTTGCTAACAGGGAGGAAGGCAGAGTTGCGAGCATCATGGGTGTTATCACGGCTGGCCATGACCGGAGTTTGGAAGAACTGTTTTGGTCTTGAATCTACTATGGAAGAAAGACGGGGATAACACAGTTCCCACAGACGACGCCACTGATCTTGATGGCTGATCAGAACCTGAAGTGGGTCAAAGACAATCGTTTGTGATGTTGAGAGTGAGAGAGGAGAATGGGGTGTACTTGCAAGGCACTCCAATGTTAAAGTAAGAATCGAGAGAAAGAAGGCAAGTACATAATATGTATGTATCAAGGTGAATATTGAATACCCGACCCTCTCAAATGAAAGGGTTTTTATAGTGCCCCCATCGCTTGACCATTGGTCCTTATTTTTGAGGCGAGATAACCGTTTCCCGAAGAATATGTAACTGTTAGAAACTAGCCGTTGGGACGAACATAGGTGCCCAGAATTAGCTGTTGCTATGGGCAGAGGCGCAGTAACAGGCACAAGCGTCGTGACTATTTCTGGGTGGTGGAACCGTGCGTGACGGGTAAGGACTGACGATGAGAAGTACTGGCCCAGGGGTAAACCGACCAACCTCCCTTGGTGGAGGGGCATAAAGGTAAATGCTCCCAAAATTGGTTGGACCTAGACAATTGGGTCGTTCTGGGAGCATAAGTGGATTGAGTCATGCTTAGCCATTAGGCCAGTTCGGAACAGTAATATTTGCCATTGATGGAGAGCATTGCTAATAGAGTCTTGGTCAAATCAACTTGAACACACAAGCGTTTATACTTTCCTCTCTCTCTCTCTCTCTCTCTCTCTCTCTCTCTCTCTCTCTCTCTCTATATATATATATATATATATATATATATATATATATATATATATATATATATATATATATATATATATATATATATATATATATATATATATATATATATAATGTGTTCTTATCCATCTTCATCGTTTGTCCGATACGATCACCAGTGAATGATAGGACACAATTTCCGTAGTATTCAATTGGTAGCCCTGAGATTCTTCTTACCCAAACAACGAGTTGTTCAATGGCATTGTTGTTAGGGCACAAATTTGGGATTTATTCCCTTACTGAAAGGTAATGATCATAAATAAGCCATGTCCCTTCGAATATCACTAAATTCAGGTCCTCTTCATTGATGAAGGTGACAAGATAGTAGTCTTGCCCGATGTTGACGACATGCAAGATTCCTCTCTTACCCCATATCTAATTAAACCTATTTTCTAAAACTTTATATCTAACTATTCGTCTTAGCATCTTTACTATAATGCCTTTGCACCATGGTCTCGTTATCCATTGTTCTTTCTTGTCGGATAAGATGATCTCCGAACACTAATAATCACTAACTTTCTTCTCGTCAATCTTTAATCTTTCAAAATCACCATTTGTTTCTAATTTTTTTTTTTATATTGGGACAAGTGTTTTTCCGATGACTATCTTTTTAAAAGAGACTCTATCTATGGATTTGAAACCTTCCACATTCTTCCTTGAATTTTTTTTATAATAACTATATATTAAATGATAAATACCAAAATAACAAGTATTTCAAATAAATTTCTAAAATGACCAACATTCCAACAGCAGGTCGCCATTTAAAATGGCGAATGAGAGCAAAATTATTATAGAGAAAGGGAATTCGCCAGATGAAATGGCGAATGAGGCCAATTGAGAATCCCTTCGCCAACCAGAATGGCGAATGAGACCAGGGTTTAGGGTTCAGTTTTTATTAGTTTTTATTTAAACCTAATTATTGTAAGTTTTTTAATTAAAAAATAAATTTTAACATTAAACCACAATATTTTAAATTTATTAATTCAAAAATTAATTTAAACATTTAAATCTATTTTTTTTTAAGTTTATTAATAATATTTATGTTTAAAAAAATAATAATAATTAAAAATATAAAAAAATCGTTTTTATTTATTTAAAACATTAAATGAAATCAAAAAAATAATCAAAATATAAAACCAAAAATGATGAAAAGCGAAACCCTAAACTCTGGCCTCATTCGCCATTCTGATTGGCGAAGGGATTCCCAATTGGCCTCATTCGCCATTTCATCTGACGAATTTCCTTTCTCTATAATAATTTTGTTTTCATTCCTCATTTCAAATGGCGACCTGCTGTTGGAAGGTTGACCATTTTAAAAATTTATTTAAAATAATTGTTATTTTGGTATTTATTATTTAATATATGGTTATTATAAAAAAAAATTCTTCTTCCTTAGTGTGAAATCAAATGGAGCTGAAGTAGAGCATTACTCTTTTCTATCTTTGACACTCTTGGTGTTATGCTCAATCATGTCATCAATTAGAACCTATTTTCCATGATTTGCTGTAGCGCACGGTTTGCATAAGCAAACTCTAGCGGAGGAAAATTCATGCTTTCTCACATTTTAACCTATTCTTTTTGTATCATAGAAAAGTTAAAATTGATATAGAAAAACAAGTCCAATATTTTTCAAAGTAAAGTATAATAATAATAATAAAAAAAGGAATAATAATGTAAACATTCGCCATTATTTTCCTTTTTAAAATTATCCTTCCTCTGACCAACGGGGGGAGGGGCAGATGCTTTTCTTCACCTCATTTAATTTCCCTCGTTTTTAATTAATTAGAAAATATATCACAGATCCGCAGCTGACCATTTTCCTTCTTTCTTCCCAGAACAATAATGGTTGCGAATCCTACTTCCGATAATACCGCACTTTCAGGTTACCACTTCGCTTCTTCTATTTCCTTTACCATTTCCCTAACATAATAACAATTCGTCCCGCGATTTCTTTTCCTTTATTACTCTCACAATTGCTAATTTTGCTGAGAATAAAAATCATGTATCAGGAGCCGCGAACAACGAGAAGCAGAATTGGGCTACATCCCCTTCCACCGTTTTCAATCACTTCGCCACAAGTGGATTTTCCGTCGCAATCGCAACATCAATTACTCATCCTCTAGGTTCCTTCTTCTCAATTTGCTTCCACTTAAATCAATTCATCTCGCATATTCTATACATAGCGATAGATTTTCAGATTCAAATTTCAATTCAATTCTATTGTATTCAATAGAGGTTGCGTTTATAGTTAAATCGGCCCTTTAATATGTTGTGAAGTAACAAATTTATTTAGGTTTTGAAAAAACATAAAACAAATCTTTAACAGCATGTATAGTTAACTTGGTTCTATATGTCATGCAGATGTATTGAAAGTGAGGCTACAAATGCAACTTGTTGGCCAGAAAGGTCCTTTGAGTGGAATGGTATTTCACTGACTTCAACCTTTTCTCTTCAGACCTTATTTATCACATTTCATTAGGAGCACTCAATGTATAGAGATATAGCATGGATTGTATTGCATGATAGCATAGCGTGTACTTTTATGATGGCATGTTTGTAGGAATCATGCACGTGCTTAGAAGGAATGTGCATGGTGTCATGATCATCACTCTCGTAGTTCTCCATCCATGCATCCATGCACTTTACACTATATAAGGACGTGTAATGTATGGTGTAAATCAACTCATTTCAAACAAGATGCTAAATGAAGTTTGCAAATCTTATTATGGTATCATTCACTTGGTTAGATTCATTCCGCTCTCTAACTAACTTATAGGAGGTGTAACCGTTTTTCCGTTAGCATATTCCTAACTGTCACGATCTTCATCTTCTTCCTTGCTCGTGCTGCCATGGTGGATTCCTCACCTGCTGCTACCTTTGGATCTCTTTCTCAGCCTACACCTGCATTTCTTGGCATCACTTCATATTGATCTTCCTCACATCACTTTGGACCAAAGCTTTTGATCAAGCTTCAAGACAACAACAACTACCTCATATGGAATCAACAAGTTGAAGGCGTCATACTCACTCAAAGAGTGCACAAAATAGTAGTGAACCCTAAAATTCCACCAAAGTTCAAGTCTGAACAAGATCAAATCGATGGAAAAGTTTTTGAAGAGTATGAAGCTTGGATCGTGCATGATCAAGCTGTGTTCATTTGACTTCTTTCTACCATCTCTGAATCTGTTTTGCCTCGTGTGTTATCGTGCAAGCATGCGTTTGAAGTGTGGGATAAAATTCATCGCTACTTCAATGCTCACATGAAGGCTTCTGTTAGATAACTGCGTGTTGAATTTAAATCCATGAAGAAAGACAACAAATCCGTGACTAGCTCTTCATTTTGTGCAGGAAGTACAACTTGACAAATTCAGGTAGGAATTAGTTGTCTTGAATATTTCTGCGAATATGGCTCACACAAATTCACAAACAAGTGGTGTGTGTGAAACCTTTGCAGGAAATCGTGGTAGGGGATGCTTGTCTGGTGGTAGAGGACATGGTATAGGTCGATTCTCGTTGGGCACCAGACCCACCTGCCAAAATTGTGGCAAATATGGCCATGCTGTAGCTGACTGTTGGCACATGTTCAATGAAACCTTCACTCCACCATGAGCTTAATCCAATATTACTGAATTTCCAAGCACCTCGATTGACAAGCTTGAAGCTTCATCATCAGAATCTCAAGTCATATCTATGATGACTCATGCTCATGAGTATTCTTTACCCGAGGAACTTGAAAAACAAGCATGGATTGCTGATTTAGGTGTTTCTCATCATCTTACTCCCTATGCTCATTTCTTGCACATTAAGAAACCACATGCAGTTCCCAATCGTGTGTCTGCTGCCAATGGTCAACCTTAGCAATTCATTGTGCAGGATCTTCTTGTGTCATTACCAAAACCAGGCAACTTCCTTCCTTACTCTTAAGTGATATACTTTATGTTTCCACACAGCTTGCTTTCAGTTTCCATGTTTTCAAAAGATATTTGTGTTGTGTTTGGATTTATTGCTGAAAAATGCTATGTGAAATCTCAGGTTTTTAAGCTCATTTTTCTTGAAGGCTACCTGATTCAATTGGTCTCTATTGCTTTTCAAATTTGGTTGTGGAGCTGTCTAAGTCTTGTTCTCCAAATTATAGGAGCTCTTTCCTTTTACCTAATCATGTTAGTTCAATTTCATGTTATGTAGTTTCTGATTGAGACAAGCCTAGTTCTAGCTCATTATGGCAGTTTAGACTAGGACATGCTCATTTTCTTGCCATCAGGCTGGCTTTAAAGCATTGTAGCGTAAATGTATCAAATAAAAGTCCTACTTTGTTTTGCAAATCTTGTTGTCTTGGGAAGTCCCATAAAATTCATGCACCATTACCTTCTACAACTTATAGTGTCCCATTTGAGGTGGTTCACATTGATCTTGGGGCCACGCACCTCATCCATTAAGTTCAGGTTGCTCATATTACATAGCTTTTGTGGGTATGTACACATGAATTTATTTTCTGCATCAAAAGTCGAAAGCTTTTCAGACCTTCAAATTATTTCTCAGCTTTGTCAAGACTCAAATTCACACAACTATTAAAGCAATGCAATCAGATAATGGGGGAGAGTTCAAACCATTCACAAAGTTCCTCTCTGAATTGGACATATCTCACAATTTAACTTGTTCACATACTTCACATCAAAACGGCACAGTTGAAAGAAATCATAGACATATTGTGGAAATGGAGCTCGCGCTACTCACACTCTTCCATCCCTCTCAAATTTTGGGTTCATAGCTTGCTACCTCAGTGTATATTATCAATAGACTTCCTACTACTAGCTTACTCAAGTTTCACTCTCCATTTCATGGAATATACAACAAGCTACCTAGGTACCAATCCCTCAAAGTTTTTGGTTATGCCTGTTTTCTATTTACAAGGCCATATAATAGGCATAAGCTTGAGTTTAGGAGTCAAGTGTTTGAGCAAAATTGGGAAGATTTTCATCTCCAAGGATGTTGGCTTCCATGAACATCACTTTTCTTTTCTCACCATCTTTCAGTCTAACTACAACACTCAGGTCAAGTTCCCTCATTGCCTCAGTCTCTTAAGTTTCCCTCTATGTCTACTCATCTACTTCCCTTCGAGTCTATCTCAAACACCTTGGCCGTTCCTATTACCCATCAAGTTGTACCCGATAGTCTCTCATCCTCTCCATCACAAATTGACAAGTCATGTCCTCAGTCTAACAACTCATGCTCTCAACCTATCAATGCAAGTGTCCAATCTCATAGTCCCTCTAGCAACACTAGACCTTAAATAGTCACCTCAACCTAGCTTTGCAACCAGTCTTGATAATAATGCACTTGATTGTCCTCTCATTATTCAGTATGCGTCTAGTGACCCTGATGACTGTTGTTCTACCTTAGGCTTTTGTATCTTTTTTTGGCCCAAATCTTGTCTCATGGAGCTCCAAGAAACAACATCTAGTTGCGAGATCCAGCACTGAAGCGGAGTATCGTGCTCTTGCTCATACTACATCTGAACTCTTGTGGGTTGAGTCACTCCTTACCGAATTATCAGTGTCCTTTCTTCCTCCTACACTCTTGTGTGGTAATCTCAGTGCAGTTCTTATTTCCCACAATCAGATTCTACATGCTCAAACACATTGAATTGGACATCCACTTTGTTCGTGAACGAGTCATTGCCAAGAGAATGAAGATTCAGGATGTCCCCAATAGTGTTTAAGTTGCAGACACGCTTACCAAACCACTTGGCACAACTGCATTTCAAGAACTTCGAACCAAGCTCAAAGTCGTGACTTTCGGCCTTCCTTGAGCTTGTGGGAGAGTATTAGAAGAATTATGTATAGAGATATATCATGGCTTGTATTGCATGATAGCATAGCATGTACTTTCATGATGACATGTTTGTAGGAACCATGCACGTGCTTAGAAGGAGTGTGCATGGTGTCATGATCATCACTCTTGTAGTATTACTCATTTCAAGGAATGTCCATCCATGCACTTGACACTATATAAGGAAGTGTAATGTATGGTGTATTTCAAGCAAGATGCTAAAGGAAGTTCACAAATTTTATTACATCTTAATACAAAGCTTTTGTCAATTAAGCATTTTTCCAGGGACAACTATTTTTGAGTGTGGTGAAAAATGAAGGACCTAAGTCGTTGTATCTGGGTTTGACGCCTGCTTTAACAAGGTCAGTAGTTTATGGAGGACTACGCTTGGGTTTGTATGAACCCTCTAAGAATGCATGTGATCATGCTTTTGGCTCCTCCAATGTTTTAGTTAAAATTGCTTCAGGAATGTTTGCTGGTGCTTTTGCAACTGGACTGACCAATCCAATGGAAGTTCTTAAGGTTAGTTATAATAATATCTCTTTCTAATACTTAAAGCATTTTTTCTTCCGTTTACTCCTTCAAAACCATATTCCCACAATCAGGTGCGTCTGCAAATGAGTTCAGACATGGGAAAGAGTGGCCCAATTTCAGAGCTTCAGAGGACTGTATCTGAAGAGGGAATCAAAGCTCTGTGGAAGGGGGTGGGGCCTGCCATGGCCAGAGCCGCTGCCTTGACTGCATCCCAGTTGGCTACCTATGATGAAACAAAGCAGGTGATTTTTTTTAAAGCGTGCTATTTTTTCATATATTCATTCTTCTCTTAATTTACTTTTGTCTTTACTTTAAATTGGATCATTGTTTTTCTAATAATTTGTTTTGCTCTGTATTCATTCAGATTCTAGTCAAGTGGACATCTCTCAGAGAAGGATTTCATCTGCATCTAATGTATGGCTCTTCCATCAATTTCATTTCTCCGCATCTTTCTTATTTCAGACTGAACCAAAGTAATGAAGTATCATTAGAGCATGATGATCAAACGAAACCACGGGCTTTGGCTTGATAATAGGGATTAATAATGAAGATTGAAGAATCGTGAAAAAAGAAATTTGCATTACTAATGTTGGTTTTATAATTTTATTTTTTTTGCAAAAAATATATTGTAACCGAATTACGTATTTTCGTACAAAACTAGTTTTATTCATCTAATTATTTGAAATATGATTTTCCACATTGACATGCACCTTAGGTCTATTAGTTCAGGAAGATAAAGTAAAATAATAAGTTTTAAATTAGTTGGTACTGAGAGTTTAAAAGCCGGTAATGTTATATAAAACAATGCAAAGGGATGAAGGAAATTGAGGCCTTGAGAGTTGGGACAGGGAGGTCCGTGCAGCCTTGAAGATTTTGCGTGTTCTTTCTGTAGTCAAGGAAATTCTTCCTTGTATTTTCTAATTTCTAATAAAAAACGAGGCAAACCTTACTGTTAACAGTTGGAATTGTTGCCATGTGACTAGAAGGTCTCGGATTCGAGTCATGACATTACCTTCTTGCAAACGCAAGATTAGTCAGCCGGCATGCAATAAGTTCTCAATGGATCAGACCCTATGGTGTGTGCATGGCAAAAGCTTTGCATCATTAGAATGTGTTTTTTCTTTCTTTCTATCAGCACTTCTGACAACTCCGAGTTCATTAGAATTTATTATTATTTTGAAATCAAAACCTTTTCCGTTATCTGATGTAATTAAGGTAATACTAATCCTATCATGTACCTTATACAGCTCAAGCACAGCTGCAGGAGTACTGAGCACCCTAATAACTGCACCTGTGGATATGGTTAAAACACGTCTCATGTTGCAACGACAATCCAAGGGTGGTAGAATATATAAAAATGGATTTAACTGTGCATACCAGGTATTAATATTGTTTTCTCATCTCCCAAACCTGCAGTAGTTTGTTCTGTACCAATCTTTGCATTACGTTCTATACTACTTTCATGCATTCTTTGAGTCTGAATTGGCTTTCATAATTCATAATTATTAGCTTATAATGATAATGAAGCAACTTCCATATAACCCAATCATGAAAAAAATGCTACATTTCTCGTCTGACATTCATTTCTGTTATTAAGTGCACTTGTTATGTGTGGTTTCAGGTCCTGCTTACGGAGGGTCCAAGGGCGCTTTACAAAGGGTGAGTTTTATGTTTGGCATTCATTTTTGCATGGAGCTTGTTTGTTCTTTTCAACCTAAACTTCAATATTGATTAATATCTAAGATTCTCTCAAGATCTCTTGAAAATTATCAATGTGACTTATAAGATTGTAAAATGTTCACGCGGTACCTTTTGTTAGGGGCTTCGCGATATTTGCAAGATTAGGACCACAAACCACAATTACATTTATATTATGTGAGGAGCTAAGGAAACATGCTGGGTTGGAAGCAATTTAGTGACCATAGTTTCCTCTGCTGACTTTATTGATTCTTGAAGTTCTGAATAACTACTCATTTTTTGCAATCAAGCCGCAGTTGAAGAATTCTTTTAGATAGTTATCTACATTCTGCAGTGGCTATTTGAGATTTATTCCCCAGAGAACCTGATCATATTTTTGACTCGCAATTAACCAGACACTTTTAAGAGAGATTCATCTACTCGAGCAAGTGGTTATTGTTGTACTCCCTCTCATAATATCACCATTGTATTAGTATAAACAAAAGGATGTTGATTCTTTGTGTACTATTGCACTGCATTAATCTAAATGGAAAATTGATATTGATCAACCTCCAGATTGAGAAGGGACTGATTTTTTCGTCTCTCCAATACTGCTACTTAGTTTTTCTTATATCTCTTTAGTTCTTGTTTTATATTTTTGGTTGACAAGTGATTTAAATTGTCAGGGAATTTGTCCCTGAAAGTGCGAGGATCAATCATTTTAATCTCTGGAATTCTAAAATAGTACTCCCTCCGTTTCAAAATGACAGTCGTTTAAGGTTTTTGCATACGGATTAAGAAATGCAATGATATTGTCATTAAATATTACACATTTACTAAATTAATCTTATTTATGTGTTGAAAATAATGTACAGAATAATTATACGACACAATTGGAAAAATTACCTACATTAAGAAGTGAAAATGATATTTAATTTGAAACAATTTTTTTTTTTTTAAAACGACAATCATTTTAAAACGGAGGAAGTAAAAACATTCTTGAATTTGCGAGACATTAAAATATTTAGTAAGTGCCCATGCCTTTCCCGGACGAAAACACAGCCAGCCGAACCTTGCAATTTTAAGAAATAATATCCATTTTTTGATAAAAGTATGGAATAAAATTTGGGTCTTGTTAACTAGTGCAAAAACATATTTTCATCTTTCAATGTATTGAATACCTCACTTTTCAAGATTATTTATATTTGTTAATTTTTTTTTTTTGAAAGCTAATGAACCACAAGAGGACGTGAGAAATGAGGAATAATTCTCTCAAGTGTGATTTACACTTAGAGAGGAAAGTTATTCTCTTTAAGATCAACATGTGTTTTTTTTTTGTCTCTTCTTGAATGATGAGGGATTACATTTTACTCTCTCAAGTATAAATAACACTTGAGACAATTCATTCTCTAAGAAATGACACTTACAAAACAAATCTCAAATACACAGCCAAAACAAATACAACATGAAATTCAGGAAGTTGGAAAAACTCTAAAACACCCCAGAACCTGAGAACCACACAAACCAGCTTTTGCCATCCACAGTTAACCTTTTCAGCAATCAGTCAAGCCTTTGGAAAAGAGACTCGAATATCGACCGGGACCACACAATAAAACACACACAACAGAAACAGACAATTCTGTCTTTAAAATAAGCATACTCCTCAAGACTCCTTTCACATATTGTAAATTCTTCACAACATCACATTTAACTTTAGATTTGTTATCCATTGATTGAGAGCATAATTGAATCCATTGTTAATTTCTTAATACTTTGTCCAAATTAATAATGTCAAAATGGACTAATCTATCCTACATTAGTGCCTCGCCTTACCATCAACCAGTCCAAGAAAAGAGAGGACGTGAGAAAAAAACTCTAATAGTATATCTTTCCATTTTATAAAAAACAAATCATTTGTATTTTTATACATCTCAACATAAATCCTGCCTATGTTAACTTTGTTATGGATAGTCATGTTCAAGTCGATTAAAAGAAAAAAGTTGTGTTAGATAGTTGATAGTTAATGTTTAATTTTGTCGAATATCTATGACATGGATTAACTATGAAATAATATGAATGCTAGGTCATTGTCCGTAAGTAATACAATGTATGGCTTGAGTACAATGTCAAAAGAGAAAGAGCCGCTACATCGCCGCCTCGATACAGTGAAAAATAAATAACAATTCTCATATTTTCGTGAAGAGAGCTTGATTACCCAACATAGAGTATTGATTATGGATGTAATAATTAAGAGAATATCTAAGAGAAGAAGTCACATTGAAGAACTATAAATCAAGTTATGGCATTTAAAGTATACAAAATAAGGAAGTTTTCAACATAAGATTTTGGAGAGAGGGTCTGAAAAACCACGAGAAAGTGAAAATGATATGTGGAATAAGATGGTCCAAGAGATTAGAAAAGTAGATAAAGAGACATTGGGAGAAGCAAGAGGTTTTGAACCTAAGGGAAAAGAATCTTGATGGTGGAATGAAAGTGTTCAGATTAAATTTAAAGTTAAAAAGATTGTTTTAAAGAATGGTCTATGTGTAAAAATGCTAAAACTTGGGCAAAGTATAAGAAAGTTAAGAATAAGGCCAAAAAGGCGGCGCGTGAAGCAATAACCCAAGCTTTTGACAGATTATACCAATCTCTAGGAACCAAAAAAGGAGAAAAATCTATATATAGATTTGGTATGGAAAGAGAAAGAAAGATAAGAGATTTTGATCAAGTAAAGTGTGTTAAAGATGAAGAAGACAAACTATTGATTCAGGAAAAAGAATATAAAGAATAGGTGGAAGACCTAATTCTACAAGTTATTTAATGAAGGCCACATATGATATCTCACCAGACTCTAGCGGACTCAACATTAAGAAAGAGGATCAAAACTATAATTACTACTGGTGGATTCAGAACAGGTAAAAAAGTGTTGAAAAGGATGAGTAACAATAAGGCGATTGAGCTAGACAACATACTTATTAAAGTGTGGAAAGTTCTTGGGGATATATATATATATATATATATATATATATATATATATATATATATATATATATATATATATATATATATATATATATATATATATATATATATATATATATATATATATATATATATATATATATATATATATATATATATATATATATATATATATATATATATATATATATATATATATATATATAGGTATTATGTGGAAAGTTCTCAAAGAAAATTTCAGATGAATGGAGAAGTAACACTTTAGTTTCAATCTATAAGAGTAAGAGGGTTATACAAAATTGAGCAAATTATAGGAGGATTAAACTTATGAGTCATACCATGAAGTTATAGAAAAGAACGATTGAGCAGAGACTAAAAAGAGATTCAAGTCACTGAGAATCAATTTGGTTTTATACTTGAGATGTCGACCATGGAAGCGATATATCTACTACGACGAGTGATGGAGCAGTATTAGATAGACTAAAAAGACTTGGACTTAGTATTTATTGACTTGGAGAAGGTGTATGATGAAGTGCCTAGAGAGATTTTGTGGAAAGCTTTAGAGATGAAATGTTTTAGAATTGCATATATTATATTCGAGCTATCTAAGATATGTATGAAGGGGTATCGACTAGTGTGTAGACAGAGGGTGGAAAGACATATGATTTTCCCATTATAATAGGTTTGCACTGAGGTTCAACCCTAAGCCCCTATATTTTTATTTTTATTTTGGATGTACTCACGAAGGACATCAAAGAGCTAGCACCGATATGCATGCTTTTTGCAGATGATATCATCATACTTGGAGAGTCGAAGGAAGATTTAAATGAAAGGTTAGAGACTTGGAGACGAGCTTTAGAAATACATGGATTTTTCCTAAACAAAAGTAAGACGAAATATATGAAATGTAAGTTCAGCAAAAGAAGAAACGTAGTCTAACATAAAGGTGAAAGCTGAAGCCCATATCATCCCATAAGTCACACAATTTAAATATCTTAAGTCCGTAATACAAAATAATATAGAATTAAAAGGAAATGTAAACCAACGAATTCAAGCTGGGTGGTTGAAATGGAGGAGAACTCAAAAATTTTATGTGATAGGAAGGTACTGTTCAAGTTTAAGAAATTTTTTATCAGACTACAATTATTAAAGATATTATAATAAATAATACCGGTTTTATATTTAAAATCAACACATCTAATTATTTTTTTTAATAACCACACATATTTTAAATATGACAGTTTTTATGAAACAAATAGAATATTAATCTTTTAATGGTTAGATGGATTGACAACAATGTTCTAAAAACCGGACCGAACTAGACGGTCAAATCGGGAATTAGAAAGGTCTTTGATCTGATCTGATTGTTCGATTGGATAAACTATTTAACCACTTAGAATTAGTCAGAACCGATCAAAATCAGTAAAAATCAATGATCCAACAATTTTGAAAAATTAATGGGTTAAATGCTTGTTTTTTCGCAGACAAAATGCCATCGTTTTTGATATTTTTTAAAAAGTTAAAATTGAAATATAAATAGAGTTTGTTCAAAACATATTTAAAATAATTTTTTTTGCATTAAATTTATTAGACATAATCAATTATTTTATTATTTAGTATGTGTTTAATTATACTTTATTTAAAATTTATTTGAATTTGTATTTTGTTGTGTGTGATGATTGTGTTTAGAATTTGAATTTAAGAATAAACTTTTAAAATTATGATATTTTAAATATTTAAAAATTTGTTGGTGTTGTGATATGTTTTTAGATTTCGAATTATCCGGTTCGATCGATTTAATAATTATATAATTTTACTATAAAAATTAATTTATTTAATTAAATTATCTGATTTAACTATACGATTCGATCAATGATTCATTAATTTGACCGATAAACTAATGATACAACACTTTCACGCGGTCTCCCAAAAATTGTCTACCTTTTGTAAAAAGAAATCATAATTAATAAGGTAGAAAACAAAATAAATCCAATAATCCAATCCATATAAGGTAACTTGGAGGGTTGAAATATCAACCCTATATAGAAAATGAAAATGTTGGGATAAACGTGTGAATCTATTTATTGCCACTCTGATGCAGATAGCTAGCTAGTTTAATTTTGAGGAAGTTTCACATGTTTTCCACTATAAGAATACATAATGATAGTTAACATCTATGGATTACAAATTAGTCTCGTTTTATTATTTCTTCCATCTCATAACTTTTTTATTTTAAAATAATCTTCATTTTAGAATA